CATTTTGTGAAACACATAAAAGTTAAAATGACCAAAATCCTTCAATTCTTTGAACCATTTGTAGGCCAGAGTTGTCAAATATTATGAAAACAATTGGCCCTGCATAATTTCTCTATTTCCCTCCATCCTTCAACACAATGTTATAAATCTTTAGCTTGGGGAGAATTGGGAGACAACCTATGAAACATGCATTCCCACTCATTAACTAATTGATTGCGGATCCAAACGGAGGTGCTTTTTAATGAAATGCAATTGGCGAGCTCTGCATTTACACTCCAAACTGTGAGAGGGGGGATTCAATACATGTGCGTCCCACCTGATTTGAGAGGGCATATCAAAGCCTCGCCCCTGTAATATTAACCACACAAATAGCCTAAAGCATGAGCCAAATTAAAAAGTGTTATTTCCCTTCTTCCTGTTTCTAGACATTTAATCATTTCAGTTCCTTGGTGCATATATACTGCACACATTAACCCTTTGATTAGACACATTTAGACCTATACAGGAGACAATTTCTCCCTGTATAGCAGCACCATTAAACGTGCTATATTAGGTTAATTTAGCAAGTTGGGGTTTGCAGTGGTTCAATAAACAGCATCTACAACAATCTTTACCTTATTCTGCTCACTTTTACAGGTTTATTCTCAAAAGATTTACGTGCTTGATGTACCTCAAGGCAATGCATCTGTTTCTGAAAAGGTCAGTGTACGATATTATTGAGTTTATTTAATTTAAGATTTTTATATTTGTAAATTTCTTCCTCTGTATTATTGGTTTCTTTCCTTTCTTACTTTCATGATGTGCACTTCTGCTTTCAGAGTATTAAATTGGCTCATTTTTGAACCCCTCACAGCCCACAAAACTACTTCAAATCCAACAAAAACAAGTCACACAGTCAGGTTGTTATTTGCGAAGATGTGTTATAGAAATATAGAACTTTTTTCTATTTAAATTAATGCTATACAGCTGGAAGCTTGTGATTTTCTTCCTTTCTGTTCGAATGCTTTTTTTTTTTTTCTTTTTTTTTTTCGCTTTGGATGTTTACCGAAGAAACCACGAGGGGGCGTTCAGCCTTGGACGAAGTGTCCTTACGCACACGTACGTGCACGCAGACACACACGCTTGCAAATACAAGACAGGAACTTTACTATCAGTATGCTTAAAGTTAGCAGTCCTTCCATGCAGTCCAATGGAGGCCCAAACTGACCAAAAATACACCAGAAGCTTGTTAATCCATGACACACAGGATCAATGCATGTGTTTCTAAAGCCTTGGCTGCTTCTCTGAACCCAGATCTTCGACACTAAATATGGTTTCATGAATCTTCATTGATTCCACGTTCGTGCTCTTTAATCCACTGACAGTAAACCCCATTTCCAACATTCACACTAATCCTCATTCATATTTCACATCTCTTTACTGAGCATTCAGCAATTATAAGGCCTCATGCAAACCTGACAGACAGCAAACCACCTTCACTTTGATTTTTGTTTTGTCATTTAGAAAAGGGGGAGATAAAATCAAAAATCAAATAGACTAAAGTGTAATTGAAAAGAAAAGTGAAAGAATTGGATCATGCATCAGAAACCTGTAGGCCTTAATTTAGGCCACACATGAACGAAATGGCCAAAAGTAGACGAAGACTGACAATGGCAGTGACTGAGATACTGCTGCGAGAAAATACTCTGTAAAGTGAGAAATCTGTAGACTATTTGGCATTTTTAAATACATAATACAAGTTTTTTAAAATGTGCATTTTCATTTTCCCCCCTCTGTCACATAAATTAATAATAAATAAATAAATAATATTTTGTATTGCCAGAGGAGGGTATTTGGCTCTTGGGTTTTCTAAATAGACACTCAAACCCAAAATCGTATCATATTTTGCGTATTTCTTTTATCAATTCATTATTATTTTTTGTTTCCATTATATTTGTTCTCCTCTGCAGCCAGAGTCTGTTTTTTTGTTTATTTATTGAGATATAGACACGAGCGCTTCTCTTCCCCACAGAAGTAAATTGCAGCCGTTGCTCTTGTCTTTCCGATTTGCAAATTAAATACATAAGCAATTAAAAAATCCAAACACAATCAATCATGTATACAAATTGTTGTTGCTTTAGGGTTGGAAATTTGGAGAAAACTTCCATCAGGGTAGGACGACTTTAATCCGGGGATCCAAATCCATTACCATATTTCATTACCTCTCCAGTGCTGGAAATGGGAGGATGGGAGGGTCGTGGAGGAGGAGGAGGAAGAGGGTCTGTATACTTTCTTAAACATTAGTAAGAATGTGGTTGAGCTGTGATAATCATTTGGAGGCAAATTGAAGCCAGTGTTGTTGTTTAAGTGCTCCATCTTTCTTTCCTCCTCTCCCCTTTCCCCTTCCCTCCATTCACCATGAAAGCATGGGCTGTTTTGCTTTTTTACGCCCGAGCCTCGAAACGAAAAAGCAATGAAAAATTAATAGCGCATGTTAACTCTACCAGCTCGTTTATTACACGCCCGCTGACTGTAAACATAATGAGAAAGCTCCCGTATCTCTTCTTAAGTTTTCATTTGCTTATAAAATATAAAAGTCATAACTAATAAATAAAATATATGGACTGGAGGAGAATCTTGGACTTCTCGAGGTGGAACTTCACTGTGAGCCGAGCAGGTGAATCACTGACTGCGTCCTTCTTCCATGCCGAGGCCTGATCAGATGAACCTACTTGTAACCATTTGACTCTTTGATAAACCAAATAAAGACCAGTCTGTCATCTGTCAGGTGGAATGTACGGCCCTGCTGGTCAGAATATCAGCCCATGCTCTGTGTTACAAAGGGGCACTTGAGGTCAAAACGGATGTAGGCTATGTGCCATGTGAGGTCATCTCTCTCTCTCTCTCTTTTCTCCCCTCCCTTTCTGTCTTCCATCTCTCTCTATCGCAGCGTTTCTTGGTGTTCGTTGCGCACTGGCAGAACATCTATTTGACTTGTATTTTTTCACGGTTAGTACGCGTTTCAAGACCAACACTTTTAGGAACAGAGAATCGCATATTCCTTATCAGAAAATATATTCTGCACAAAGCCTGAGGAGCCATGATTCAAGGGTTTCCTACTGTTGGGACACAAAGACTCTGGTCCACAGTATATATGGGCACGGATCCAAATGTGCCTATATTTTATTGTTAGAATGGGCAGAAGAAGAATGTCACGTTTTTGAAAAGGTTATGCAAAATGTCGTATATCGAATACAGTCGATGTTTTCATTCATAATAATTTAACGTTAGTTGCTGCCCCACACTGACTCAAACAGCGGCCCCTGCTCGTTGCTAAAAACGCGCTTTTACGCACTGCCAACCTGCAGGGCGGGAAGAAAGGAGGTCTGATTAGATCCACGTTCATTCTCGCTGACTCCCCTTTGTACCCCGAGCACGTATTTTAAAGTGACAGGAAATGGAGAGGCTGTAGGTATAGGCCCTGGGCCCTAAAGACTTTACACATCAACAGGGGAGGGCCTCCTTTAAACTCTGATTTCCTCAGTGGTTAAAAGGTTATTATCCAATTGCTACAAATCCCATTGCTTTATCAGGGGTTAGGCCCACTCCACAAAAGGCTGCAAAGGAGGCATTATTTGTCTTACAGACCACTGGCATCGTTTGACGACAAATTTCCATAGAAGGCCGGGCACAAGCTAATTTATTTCTATTATGAGGCAAGGTGTTGGGATCGAAACACGCTTTCTTGTCACAATAATACGAAAACGAATGTGTTAAACATAATTTAAAGTAGTCTGAACCCATATTCAACGGTTGTTCCATAACTGTCTTAAACATCTAGTCTGCATTCATTACAATAATCTTAGTATCGAGCAAACAGGGGCATCACAAAAGCTTTTTTTTTTTTTTTTTTTTTTTCTCTTTTCCGGAGAAAAGGCTGCATGTAGCACAAGCATCGCCCGTTGAAAGAGGCTGATCACCTGCCCACAGTTTCTTAATGACAAACGACGTTTTATCAATGCAGACACAGCGGGCAGCGATATGAAATGATGTGATATCCATTGGGTGCCATAACAAGGTCGATGGCCTGATCCATTGCTGTACCAGACCCCGCTGTTTTATGAATAGGCCTATAGGAGATTAACCTGTTGAATAAAGTAATGGAGACACGAAGAAAACAGTCATCAGAGATATTTTTAGCCGAACTGATCGCCAACTCCTGCGCACAAACTATAATGCGAAACAAAAAAAACTTCCAGGACAGCAGCATGTCACACAACCACCCTACCGTTTTCTTTTCAGCCGGGTATTTAACAAATGTGGAAACGCGTACACACATAGCCACCACGATCTTATCCAAATAAACGGTGTTTAGTATTGTAGAGATCAGTCCTGGTAATAAGGTGTTTCTCTCAGGTGATGGCACTGCCCAACACGTGTGTCTAACCTGACACACAATGACTCACAAAACCAACAACTTCAGTCACTTTTGCTTATCTACCAACACCAGATGTCAGACATTACACATGTGAAAAAAAAGTTTCAACAAACTCTTCACTGACACCAAAATTATTTTTTCCAACTAGCAAAAACAGAAATCCTAAACTGAAAAAAAAGTGTTTTTGTTGTCAGTGTAACGGATTTCTTAAACACAGCAAAACGGGGATTAGACTAAATCATCCTGACTGAAAGTTTTATCACAAAAGTTACAAATCTGAGATAAAATTTGGACCAACTTTTCCTAAAATAAGTTCATACTTCTGCTGTTCCTATTTTTCGTCATCCAGACAACTTTAGGAAATCTTGTAATACTTAAAAAAAAAAAAAGCACAAAGTTGAAAAAATGAGAAAAAATGTAATAATTAATGTATCCATAAATAACTTCCACAACTTTTAAACTTTCACTGCAGCAACAATCAAACAAAAACGAACAAACATAAAAAGTGTTTCAACTGACAAAAAGCGAAGTTTAACTGTTCATAAAAGTGAAATTAAGCTCGAGTGAGCCGGTGCCAGCCTACCTGCTCTCCCCAGCCGCAGCGCAGGACTCTTGGGCCCCTGGTCCATGTTAGCCGGTTAGAACAGGGGGAGGCGATGGAGGGAGAAAAAAGGAAAAGAACAAAAACTTTTTCCAGTGTCTCCCTCTCTTCCCCCCTCTCTCTCCCTCTCTCCCTCCCTGGCACTGTTTTCTCCTCTCTCCCTTTCTCTCTCTTTTTTTTCTTTCGTCCTACAGTACTTTTGGGGCGAGTTGTAGGTTGAAATAATTCGACCCTTCCGCTCCCTATTGCACTCCCTGCAAGTGCTCAGTCAGCTGCAACTAAACGCTTTAGGTGGAAAAAAGGCTTCGGGGGGAAGCGTGAAATGATCACGCCGAGTAAAAGAGCCGCTCTCTCAATGTGCGCTCATGTCCTGTCCTTTTCCTGCACGAGCTCGCACACACCAATGCAATACACGTGCACGCTCACGTGCACGTATTAGCATGCGCGGCCACGCATACATACACAACATGCAACCTCCACCCTTCCCTGCAGGGCCGCGCCCCCCTCACTCGCATCTGTTACCAAGTTCCACTTTACTAAACTTTCCCGCCCCCGCCCCGCTCTCCCTCTCTCTGTCTTTCCCTCTTTTATGTGAGATTCATTTCCTCTGGCACACACCCCGTTGATAGCTCTGGACGTTGGTGGGTAACATTAAATTACAGTCTATATGCGTAAAACCAGCGCAGGTTTGGCTCTTTTTTTGATTAACTCACGAATAAGAGAGACTTTGTTCTTAAGTGTGTTTATGTTTAGTTTCCTTTCTGGGTCTTCCAAAGAGCGCTTATGAGAGTTTCTCCAAACTTGTTTCCTCCTCTGTCAGCATACACCTGTTACGCACGGTGCTCTTTACGCATTACGCATGGACTGAAACACTGCGGAGCAGCAGCAGCAGCAGCAGCAGCAGCAGCAGGTGCAAACAGAGCTACAGCTTCAACCGGTGCAGGTGGAGAGTGCTGTCTTCTCCTCCTGCAGGCACTGTGTGCAAAGTGTTTGTTACAAAACGGATAGTTCCGCTCCTCAGCTCTGATTGTTCGCAGACACACACCTGTGAGCGCATAACATTGAATTTAAATATTAATTTGCCAACTGAAAATTTCCACTCATACTGATACTCACCGCTTTGTTTGGTTCTCGTCGAGAACTTTTATTCTCTGCCGGAACAATGACATTAAACATGTGCTCTCTTTTTTGACTCGTCAGTCAGGTTTTGCAGTCATTTTTCACCAACTTGGAAGATTTTACACCGCATTGTTTAGACTTTAGCCAAACCAAACCTCGAAAATTAATGAATAAAAATTTAAAAGCAGAACAAAAAGTTCCCTGTTTTCCTTCTCTTGTCACTGTTTAGCAATAGTTTACACATTTCTGCTGACGAGAAAAGCTAAAACGGTGTAAGGCTGTGTTTGGGGGAGTAATTGTAATAGTTTGAGTGAGTCAGCCAGAGTTTAGCTAGCAAATGGCCTCGAGCTTGAGCCGAAAATAACCGAATAATTTTTCTGTTGTGAGACAACTGAGCTCACAGGTGAAAATACATAAAAAGGACACGACAAATTAACTCATTTTAGACGGCGAAGCGAGCACTTTTGTGTGAAGTTAAACACAATATTCCAACACAATTTCTTACCGGACCGGACCCAAACTGTGAATTCAGATTTGGCAGAGCATTGTGAGCAGTGGGTGTGTCTCTGGACTCGGAGGCTAAACTTCTTCTTCTTCTTCGTGTCCTCCAGACAGCGGCGGGTCTCAGGGTTCACGCGCAGCCCGCAGACTATTGAGTGCGGAACAAAGCGCGAGACATCGACCCATTTTTGCCCTGCTTGTCGTCTCGCGCTGCAACACTCCGACCCTGACCTCCGGCTCGCGCCCTCAGCATCCAAATACAAACACTAACGTTTTTCCGTGTAAAGGCGACAAAACAACAAAAAAAAACAACAACAACAAAAAAAGAGGGTCAATTCCCACCTGCAGCTCGAAGAGAAGAAGACCCCCAAAATATGTAATTTTAGACGTTTGTCAGGAAAATATGAACTTGTGCTGCTCTGGACTGGAAGACAGGAGATTTCTGCTAGCATGAAGTGGGTGACATGTTGACCTTTTCACATATAGAAAAGTTCTTAAGCGAAGTCTTGTGAAAAATGTACTTTAGTTAATCTTATCGCTGTTGTCCCGCACCAGGATATTAATAATGATGATTAGGCCTACATATATTGACAGCGCTACTGTTTCTGAATCCTCGGCACACTCAGTCTCATCCTTATCTTTTTATGGACCCAAAAGTTGAATCTGTATGCATGGCCATGGCTGCGGATTATTCACTGCATTTCCTGAAACGTGTGAGCTCGCAGAAAAGACTGTACAATTATCTGCCATTGAGCTGTTCGCAGAAACCAAGTTATTATATTCCACTTAAGTTTTCATTGTTGGTTGTTTTTGCCAAGTTTACAATGCAGCGGAGATTAATTAGACATTATGTTAGAATTCTAATTTAAAATTTTAAATAAATAAAATGGACCCAGTTGGAAGGAAAATGTGATTAATAGCTGAAAAGCTGTTTTAATTAAGCTTTACCTGGTAATTCATGTTCACAGTGGGAATGTGAATTTTAGGGGAAAAAAGTTTTTTATATAAAAAATAGGCCTACAAAATATGAACAGTTGTAGTAGTACAACAAAACATCATCATCATCATCATTATTATTATTATCATGATCGTCAAAAAATATCTTTATATAATAATTATTATATACATAATAGGCATAATAAAATGAGACTGAAAAAGCACATTGCATATTTCAAATGTGTATTTATTCAAACATTAGTTTCTGCATAGAGATTGCAGAATATTCACTCTGCATCCAAAACTTTACCCACAGCAGTGTTTTAAAATTTGGTACTTGTTGATACATCTTTTTTCTTTTTACTCTCAGACCTTTTTTTTCTTTTTTTTTTCTTTTCCCCTAATATCCTTTCGTGTGTCTCCTGCAACCTCACGTGTCTCTCCACATTTAGCTTGCCTACTGGATCTCTTTAAAGAATTCGCCATAGTTTAGATATTAATCATCACTTGTTTGTTTTCCATCCCCCGTGCTAATTAATGTAATTAATATGAGGGGGAGTAGTTGGATCGGTGACCCGGGCTCTGACCGAGCGGAACCGTAAAGAATCGCATTAAAACGCGAGACAGAAGAACTAAAGGGACGATTAGAACAATAAGTAAACACGTAAACACAGGAGGAGATGCTCCCTGCCTCCGAGACTCTTGGCTTCCTGCACGCCGTTTAAATTTAGTGTAAATTACGAGCAAAGATAAAGGTTTAAAAGCCTGTTCAGAGCAGAGCTGCAGACAAACTGGGGCTTCAGTGGGGAAAATGAAACATTGCATCTGCATCTGGGGGGTTTTAGAGCCTCAAAAACAGTGAATAAAAGTAAAAATCCTGCCTTTGTGATGTTACTTAGGTGTAGGTATGTGCTTAAAATATCAAAAATGCTAAGTCTGCTGAAGGCTTGGTTTTTTAAATACTTGTTTGTTCTAAACTCTTATACACTGCATTATTGGAATATAGCACTTAATATAATACCTGCTTCAAAGTGGACATGATTTTAACCACCATGCTGTTGGGTTTAATGTATAACAATGTGTTCTTTTGTATCATTATTCATATACTTTGTATAAACCCCAATTCTGCAAAGAAACTCCGTTTGTCAATAAATACAGTGCAGCAAAAGTTCTGTGTGTGCCCCTGAACTGTTGTGGATCAGAGAGAAGGTTTAGAAAAAGTGCCTCAGAATTATATTTGGGTAGGATACCTTCACCTCTGCTCCTAGACATAATTTAACTGCACTCCTATATGTTCATCACAGAAATTTTCTAAACTGTAGAGTTAACTGCATTTACATTTCTGTAGCAAATTTACCAGACATATCGTTGAAAAATTAAATTTTAAGGAGCCTAAACCCACACTTTCCATGTATTTGCAGACCTGAAACATATTAAAGTTATGTTCCTTCACTTTTTTTAAGCAATTCTTTGCTCTTTTAACCTCTTTCTGTTTTTTTGTTTCATTTTTAAAAGTTTTCTTCAAGTCCTTTCTGCTTCACATCCAGTGCTGTAAATTCTTTAATTGTAAAGTCTTTTGGAACTTTTGTTTTCAAAACTACTGTATGAAAAGGCCATACTTCCTTATGTAGTTACTTTTCCTGAAGGCCCTGTAACTGAATGTTTCTCCCTTGAAGCACATCATGTATGGTTTCAGCAATGCCCCCTTTGGCTTGACATAATAGCACTCTTGTGCTAGATTTCTTGACACTAACACAGAGACACCTATACCAACACTTTTATATAAAACTTGCTTCTGGTGCTCATGTGTTTGCCTTTGCTTTCCTTGAAACACTCATCGCCACAGTGCTGATTGAGCTTACCTCTATATCCCCGGGATTTAATTCAGAGTGGCACTTCACTGTGGCGACACAAGGTTCTCTTTTTGCAGCCATGGTGCCTGGGTGTTGTTGTGACTATAGAGGCTAGAAGGGGGCTTAAGGGCTGCAGGGCGGATTGAGAAATGGGACACATTATTTGTCCATGAAACATTATGTGACACAACATGACACCAGGCCATTTGTATGTAAAGGTAAACATTTCACCGTGACGATTCGACAAGAGAGGACAAGGCTCCTGTCAATGTGGTTTTATACTCGCAGCTGAGAAAGAGGTGTTGTGGCATCGTGTGGTGACGAAGTGTGTATGCGGGGCCTTGTGTGTGTGTGTAGAGCTTCTGTTCACAAATTTAATCCCCATAGACACAAGTCACTTGGTCCGGTCTGAAAAGGTGTTGTCAGGCTTGTTCTCTTGTTGTTTTTTTTTCTTTACTGAAAGCACTGACAGACTGTTGATCAAAGAGCTTCACAAAGAGTGTTACTTGTGTGTGGGTGTGTGTGTGTGTGTTGCACCTGTATTGGAATTGCATTTATTTTGTAAAAAATGTGCTTGTCAGACACTCCCAACAGCAGATTTTAGGCACCAGCGTAACATTTTCTGACCATTAAAAGCTGCCTCAGATATATGAACTCTCCTGGATCTTACTGGAATAGAGACGCTGACACTGGTGCTCAAGTT